TTTTTTTTCCCGGAGGGGGGGGGGGGGTGTTGTTGCAAACTCAACCCACCCCCCCCCCCGGACGACACAATGTTTCCCTACGCCACTGTTAGGGGCCGTCCATAAAGTGTTTAACGCTATTTTTTTTACAATGTTTACCTTCTCCCTGTCAGAAATCTCGGATCCCTCTAGAGCAATGGTTCTCAACCTGTGAGTCGCGACCCCTTTGGGGGTCGAACGACCCTTCCCCAGGGGTTGCCTAAGACCATCGCAAAACATATATACTCTACAGTTATAAAGTAGCAACAAAAATAATTTTGTGGCTGGGGGGTCGCCACAACATGAGGAACTGTACTAAAGGGTCACGGCATTAGGAAGGTTGAGAACCACTGCTCTAACGTATGTCACACATTCGAACTTAACAGTAGACAAATTATAAATTTATTTTAAGATATACCGGTACTTCAATATTAATTTAACATAACATTTAACTTCAAAGAACTATCGCAATTTTAAACATAAACTGTGAACCTCAGGCTTTTTATCTTTAAAAATAAAAATTATCAAATTTGAATGCAAGGGGGCACAAAACCCGTAAAGCGTCACTGGTCCTCCAAAAGTCTCGCGACGGCACTGCAGCCATTCAACCATCCTTAGTGCAGTGGCGTAGCGAGGGTGCTTGGCGCCCGGGGACAAGATTCGCGCCCGGGGACAAGATCCATTTTTAGCGCCCCTTTTTCTTTTTTCGACTCTCAAACCCATTATTTTCATCAATAAAATAATATCAAAGCACATTTTGGCACCCCTAACTAGCTGGCGCCCGGGGACATCTGTCCCCCCTGCCCCACCACGCTACGCCTCTGCCTTACTGGCAGCACTGACGTATGACTGTCTTCGTCATTTTAACTCTAAAGTAGAGACCGACCAATTTCGGTTTCGACGCTGAAAGTGGCCATTTTATCACTTTCGGCCAAGTTTCGGTTTCGGACCAAATTGAAAGTTAAATTTCGGCTTAATTTTGGTTTCGGCCGAAAGAGAAAAGTTAGTTTTCGTTTTTTTTTTCGGTTTCGGCCGAAATTGACTTAGACTTTCGGCCATCCGGTTGAAAGTGACTGAGTTTTCGGTCATCTAATTTTCAGCAAAAGTGATATTTAACAACAAACTAAGTGACATTTAAGAACAAACTAAACGATCTTTAAGAACAAATAAAGTGATCTTTAAGAACAAATTAAGCGATCTTTGAGAACAAACTAAACGATATTTAACAACAAACTAAGCGACATTTAAGAACAAACTCAACGATCTTTGGAACAAACTAAGCTATCTTTAAGAACAATCTAAGCGATCTTTTATAAAAAAAAAAACTAAACGATCTTAAAGAACAAACTAAGCGATTTTTAAGAACGAAGTAAATGATCTTTAAGAACAAAATTAATTATCTTTAATAGTAAACAAACTGATTTATAAGAAAAAACTAAGCGATCTTTAACAGAAAACTAAATGTTTTTTAGGAACAAACTAAAAGATCTTTAAGAACAAACTAATCGATCTTAAGGAACAAAATCAATAATCTATAAGAACAAACTAAGCGATCTTTATGAAAAAACTAGGCGATCTTCAACAACAAAATAAGCGATCTTTAAGAACAAACTAAACGATTTTTAATAACAAGCTAAAAGATTTATACAAACTAAATGATCTCTAAGAAAAAACCGAATGATCGCTAAGAAAAACTAAGTGATATCTAAGAACAAAATCAATGATCTTTAAGAAAAAACTTAGCAATCTTTTTTGAACAAACTAAATGATCTTTGATTAAAAAAACTAAAAGATCTTTAAAAAAAACTAACCGATCTTTAAGAACAATTAAAGCGATCATTAAAAAAAACTAAACGATCTTTAACAACAAACTAGCGATCTTTAAGAACAAACTAAACGATCTTTAACAACAAGATGTTATATTAGATGTTTATTTATTAATATTCACGATTATCTCATTTTTTAGAAAAAGAATGTAAATAGTTAGTGATACTTTCTCCCATCATTTTCGATGTGCAGGATGTATGCGGGAACGAATTTCAAAATATCTAAATTTTTCGGTTTCGGCCGAAAGTCATTTTTAAACAATAATAACAACCATTTAGTATTATTTTCTATACTACCCAGAGCCGCCGGGAGATCTGTAAGTGTAAGCCTACTATTTAAAATTTATATAGGGAAATCCGCTACTGATTACATCCATGAGATTTTTAATTACCAAAACATTGGTTATTTTACTTTATTATAGCAATTGCATACACCATATAAGTCAATTTTATATTTAACTTTCTAGAAGAATGCCTCAGCGTATTTTTTGCCCCTCATACCACGACTCACTAGCAGGGCCGGCCCTAACAATTGCGGGGCCCTATGCGAAACGGATTGCGCGGGGCCCAGTCTGGTTAGGGATAAGGATAATTAGTGAAAATTAAGATTGTATTAGAAAATAAATTTATTCATTCTTTACTAAGGACAAAATCACGATCACGTTTAGCAAAGTCATACAGGATATCATCAAAATTCTGTTTCCTACATAGATCACGTTCAATAGCAAGAATTGCCAAATTGTTCAATCTATCTTCGGGAATTATTGACCTCAAGTAATTCTTGATTAGTTTGAGGCGCGAGAAGCTTCTTGAAAAGTAACGGGTATTGATAAAAATATTCTGAGTGCAACAAAGTAGTTTTGGAAAGCAGTGTATCTTTCATTAGTGGACAGATAAGCCAAAATTTCTACCGGGGTTTTGGCGGTATTAGGTAGAATATGCCTTAAAGATTCCATTTAATCTGCTAATTCTCGCCCACATGTATCTGCTGACTGGTCTATTAATGACGTCAATGCTTGCTCGAGGCTCGCTGTAAACTTTCGTATGTCATCACGCTGACCTATACATGATTATAAGTTTTAATGGCTTAATTTAATAATTTACAACTAGAATTAGCGCGGGGCCTATGAAAGTGCGGGTCCCACTGCGGCCGCATAGGTTGCAGTGACCTGCCCTGCCCACAAGAATACTAGAAGTCGTGCTCATACTCACTCTAAATTGGGGGGAGGGGGGATACGTTAAACTTCGTAAAACAAACTGTCTTATTCCCCACAATAAATATTGTCTTTTTTGTTGTTGAAGCAGAAAAATAAATAATTCAGTGACATGCATCATAAATAGGATAAATGTCTAAAGTTTCAAGATGAGCACCACCACCTCCCCCCCCCCACACCCCTTTTTACAGGTGCGCGCTGTTACCTGCGCTTTATTGCAGGAAGCAATCTTACACTTGATAGGTCACGCATGCGTACTGAATTATCTACAGGTAACACTTCCGACCAGGAACTGGTCAACATACACAGAGTCAAAGCGTAAGTTCAATTAATTTAGTTTATGCATACAGTTGAACCAAGAGCAAAGCCGTCTAAGTCTAATCTAACTCTAAGACTAAGGTGGTAGTGGTAAAGTAAGTCACCTTCGCCTTCGCCCCTCAAAAGTAAAAGGCAACCTGTAGATCCAAATACAGCCTCAACAATATAACTTATATTATATTTATATTTCATACATAACAATTTAATAATAATAACTTGACTTATTAATTTTGATTTTGACAGTATAAATAAGTATAATCACTATTTTTTGTATCTAAGCCTTTACTTTATACTATAAACAAAAGGCTCTGTAGACATACAATAAAATATCATACATATAGCGTATGAGTATGCCCACTTAGTTGACTTAGCCTAAGTTAACCTACTATTATATAATATAGGGCTACTTAATTTAAAATTTATCATCCTATAACTTTTATAGGATTAGACTTATTATACCAGTATAATATTATACAGGTAATATTAAAAATTAAAATGATACTAAAAGCAAATTCAATGTAATGGATTCATTTAAAATTATTATTAAGTTTAGTTTTTTAATACCTTAAACTGCTGATTCTAGGACTAACATTTTGGAAAATGTCCATGATTTTCATTGAAATTAAGGCTGCGGCTATTCGGACTCGGGTCTGAGAAGTGAGAGTTTGGGTTTATTAAAAAATATTTAAAAATTATTGTAGGGTTTGTAAGACAAAATTAGTATAAATTAGGTATCAAATGAAAGATAATTGAATGTACTATATTTTTGTAAACTTACTTCTTGAGTTTAACTAAAATGAACTACAACAAATGACATTTGAATAGCATTTAGTCAAAATGGACCCTGACACGCAGCACATATAGTCCATAAATTAATTATCTTTCATTTGAATTGGTACCAAATTTTGTCTTACAACCTAACAATAATATTTTTTTTTTAAATTTTAATCTCAACCTCTCACTTCTCAGACCCGGGTCCGAATAGCCACTTCGTTTAAAATGTGTTTTAGTTTATTTTGCCTAAGCAAAGACCTCATAAATACTTGGTATTTATACATGGCCTTTAAAACTTAAAAGAAACATAAATCATATATGTGTATTCATGGATATTAATATATTTTTAATCAGATTTTTTTTGTGATTTAAGCTAATTCATCTTTATTTTCCTGGAAACTTTTTTTTTTTAAATTGAAGGATTTATTTATTCCTTGCATTTTACAGTACACATCTGATTATATTTTTTATTTAATACCAATGGGAACACAACATGACCTATTTTGTTCTTTTTAATTTATTTCAGTTTGATTCAGGTTCTCAGTGTAATCGTATAAGATTACCACACAGCAGCCATGTCAACTCCAGGATACCCAGCATATTATTATGGAGACTCAAACACTGGAAGTGTCTCTAACCTCAGCGAGGGAGGGATGCGCCGTTATGCATCAAAGTCCAGTATTGCTGGAGGTCAAAGCTTGACTGGATCAAGGTAAATTGTTTAATATTTTTAATTTCCTTATACAACTAGATATGTTCAATGTTTAACCCAGCAGTTATTAGACCTCATTAGTTTGAGGGAACCCAGTTCAATAAACACATATTTGTGATCTTTGGTTCATGAAAATATGATATTCTTTCTTTCAGTTCTTAAATTCAATGCTACTTGTATCCAACTATCTTAGGACATTCCGGTTTTTAAAAATTCTGTTCTAACCCATGTGAAAGTTTAAAATTAAAACCAGGTGGTTTTTTTGTTTTTTGTTTAAATATTTTTATGACAAGCTGTTGTATGTTGATTTTTTTCTCTTTCAGATCTCTCCTCTATGGCAGCAGGAGGAGTTTGTATTCAACATACACAATGTCAGGCATGTCCTATATCCTTCCTGTTGTGACCAAACAGCCTGACCCATGGAGGCGACCTGCTGATAACTGGCCAATCGCATTCATGTCTTTGTTTGTCAACCCCATATTTGGAATATTTGCCATTTTATTGGCAGGTTGGTTTATTTTATCAAGCTGTTTTAATTGCAGAGATGTTTCCAGATTCTTCTGGATATTTATTTATCATAAATCTGTTTATCAAGAATTATTCCTATGAAGTGATTCATATTTTCAGTACCCAAGGGGGCACCCGCAGTAGGTGCCATCTTGGGGAATGTTCCAAAAATCATAATTTTTCATGTAAAAATCAAGCATTAAACTAGTAATGTTTACACTTTTCATCCACAGAACAATCAAAGATTTATTATGCTAAGTGCCAGTATGTCAAAGCCTCTCAATATGGATCTTATGCCAAAGGAACAGCTGCAGGGGGACTGTACTGCACGTTTATTGTTGTCCTGTGGATATTGGGTGCTGTGCTGCATGAAAAATTTCGCTATAATTATTAATATTTCCTTAAGAAATGTACATAAATCTCAAGATTTTGGGGATGAAAATATTAGCAGTTTTCACAAGACTTCGAATTGATAATTTTTTTAATTTCTTGTACATATAACCAAAAAACCTTTAGCACATATCACATATGAATATGAGTCACTGCAGGAGAATGTTTCAAATTTCCTGACAGGAAAAGCCTATTTAATAATTTTTAAAATCACTCTATGATGTAACAGAATTCCCATGCAACCCCTTGTGTGTAGTCATATAAACTGATGTGTGACCACAAAGTTGGAGAGGCACTCATAGTAATTATCTTAAATTAGATACTTAAGTGCATCTTGTTCGCGAATATATATTTTTAACTATTGCAACTACTCATTCCAAGACTATTATTTTTAAATTTCTTGTACATAAATAACGATTTAACATATGTTGTTTACATTCCATGATATTGACTTTTTAGCTAAACTTCAGAGCTAAAAAAACTAATAGTAAAAAAAATTCAACAAATTGTCAATGAGAGGGGTGTAAATGGGGTTGTAAGTTAAGTTCACTAGGGCTTAATGTTTATGAAAACTTCGTACAGACATTATCATTCCCCACCTTCTGACCCCAGTTTTTTTAATGGCCAGACAAGAACTCTGCAATTTAAGTGTTATTGTAAAGTGGATCTGAATCTTGTATATCTAAAAAGTCATTAAAATATATTTAAAAAAACTATTTGTGGCATTTGTTTAAATACTCATGATGCTTGTCTTCTTCTTCTCTTCTTATATTTGAGGGCCCACGATCAATGTGTTGATCATTCTGGCTCTGGTTTAAATTCAGAGTTTGCCTTCTCTTAGATGAGTTGCCGTCCCTTAGATAAGTTGCCGTCCAAGGCATCCTGGGGTGCTTGGGATGTTGGCTTTGGTGGGGATTGAACTCCAGACCACCAGCTATTTGGTTTGAGACAATTTAGATGGCTCGGCCACCCAGCAACAATATTGTTTGTTGAAATATGTATTTCTTTATATATTTGTCACTGCTATATTTTTAAACAGTTAGGAAAAGGGAAAAAGTAAATTTATACTTTTTGTGTACAGGCTAACAAACATTGTTTTTCTTTAAATTTAAAATATGCCATTCTGCAAATATATCCTTTCTTGAATAATGAATACATTAAACTTATTTATTTATTTTTTGAATAGGACAATTCTATGAAAATTAGGTGAGTTTTACTTCATCAATAATTATGCTAATAACATTGTGTAATTTTTCGAATTTGAAAATATAAAAAATAGATTGGGAAATAACTAACTTCCAACACAAAAAGTACATCACTACAACCAGAAAATTATTGCCCAGCTTTGAATTATACCGTATTTGATACAGAAATTTGGTAATTTAAGGAAAATCCATGGCACTATCATTACATGATGGAATAAAGGGTTTTAAAATATAGGCTTATATTCAACAGTATTAATACTATTATTGAGGAAATAAGTGGACAGAGAATTTGACATAATTTCACATTTGCATTTATATCTCTCATGGTATAATCTTTTTAAAAGCATTGTTGCTTTCAGACCCTTGTTCCCTTGATTTCACAAAGGGAAAAATAAAACTTTCTTAAAATTCATTACACAAGGAAAACATGTGCAGAAGAGAAGTAAGGCACTTAAATGAAGCCAAAGGATTCCAATTAAATGTAGAAACCTTTCATGTTGTTTTCTTTGCCTACTGAATTTTAAGAAAGTTATTTTCTACTTTAGTTAAGTGGGTCCTCTTGGAAAGGATTTTTTTTTTTTTAATATTTTGATTTTCTGCTTTTTAGTATGAAAATTTTATTACTGTAGTAAATTATCCACAAAAGAATTTAAAAAAAAACAAATATTGCTTCCAAAACCTGGCATAGTGAAATTAGAACTTAACAGCCGTTTGCCACCCATGGATCAGTCTTAATTGACAAATAAATGCCCTTCCCCAACACCTTATCCCATCCCAAAATCCTAGTTAGGACACATGGTTATTGTAATCGAAGGGGCAGTGTTGTTTTTTAAATCACCTTTTCATATTTCCCATCACTCACCACCCCAATATCAACTCGGCTTGCCAAAGTTGTATCTCTGTCATCAACTCAGGTGCAACCTTAGTGGCCATCATGAGGAAGATTGTTTCCACAGAAAGAGACAGTCACACGTGATATCATATAATTTTGTTACAAACAAAACCCCTCTCGTTTTGCAAGTAGGAAGAAAGTCTTTAAAAGGCTGATAAAATATCTACAGCGTGTCACTGATTTTTAGGATATTCTTATTGTTTAAATTTATTGCTCAAAAATATTTAATAAAAATTTAATATTTCCACAAGTAACCTATGTATTTCCCACAAACAAAAGAGTTAAAGAAATTAAATCATTATTATTATGCATTTAATTGGTAAATAATAGTTGTTAAACATTATTGAACTACAATATCCTAAATTCACGCAAATCTGTTCAAATTATAATGATAGCCTGTGAAAAAAATATTAATATCTTAGTAAAGTTGGCCTAAATAGATTGCAAGGCGAGATATTCAGTTGCAAGTTGGGATTATTTTTGAGTTGCTCTGAAAGCATTTAGTTAGCTAATAATAAATAGTAAGGACTTATTTTCAAACAAAAGCAATAGTCAGACAAAAACAAAAAAGCAACAGTTTTTATAAGCAATAATTTGATTGAGAAAACCTGACTTTATAAATTTGAATATAAAAATCAGCTATAAAAAATCAACTATATCCCTAGAACTGAAGGAGCACTGACAATAGTAATGTAAGAAGTAAAAAAAACAGTTAAAAATGAGAAACAAAAGAAAGATAAACAAATTCTGGGTAATAAATATTGATTTTTTTATTGGAAATTCTATATGCTGGTGAAAGTAGCACTGGATGGACATATTGATCTTTCCAAACTTTTTTTTCAAAGCCTAACGGTATACTTAAAATTAACATCCGAAATAAAAATGCTTTCAATATATTATAAAACCATATAATTAACATGAGTTGCAAATTATAGCTATTGATAAATGATCAAACATCAACAATTGCAGGATAATGGATAACAATTATTTAGAATATTATTTTTACAATATGCTTTTTTGTCATGATAATTGAAATTAAGACATTTGATATGATTAATTTAATATTTTGACAACACCTGTTAATTACCAAAATTATGCAGACATACTTCTGGGCATCTCATTTTCTCAAGGGCAATGTTCTTTTACAAGTGCCTAAATTTAATACTTTGCATCTGCAAAGGATGTTTATCCAGATCAAAATTTAAATGGTAAAAGCCACAGGCTGTTATATCCTGTACAATGTTACTAATTAACATTATATAATGTAGGAGTAATGCAGATCATCTTAAACAATATTCAATTTAATTCAAACAATAATAAGAGTTGGGGGAACTACAGTGAAAATGTCAATAGCTCTTAATGCCAATTAAATTACATAAAAATATATTTGTGATCATGCTGAAGTTTTGCTAGCATCTAAAGGCCATATTATGCTGCTTCAGGCAAGTCTCGGTAATGAATAAAAAAATCCTTTAAAAATGTTCAAGCTTTTGCAAAACATGTTAGTAAAAGAGTGGAATGAAAACTCATTTATCAACATAATTATTAAATTAAAAAGAAGTAGACACATACAAATGCATCTCTAACAAACAAAAATTCTTCGTGTTTTTCATTGCTTTTCAATTATAATTTCCGTTCGAAAAAAATTTCTCAAAGCACTGTAATATTATGAGTAGAAGACAGAAAGGAATAAACATTATACTGTTAATGTCCGTAACTATGTTTTTATATTTAAAAAATAAACCAAAAAACATCTTTTATGCTGCATTTCAAATGCAACAAGCATGATTATTAGTGTAAACAGAGTAATGTGAAAAAAAAAATAATTTCTATAGGTAATGGGTGAACATAATGAAAAATTACTGCTTACAGGATACAGTATTGGAAAAAAAAAATTAATCCAAACAAAAATCATCATATTTCATAATAAGCATATATATCACAAGCACAAATCCCCCCAAATATATATATATCACTTTGTAGAATGAAAAATATACAACAGATCAGTTTCATATCTAAATTAGAAGAAAAAATTCAAGGGAATTAAATTTAACTAGCCAACATAACAAAGCTACACAGTGTAGCAAGTTGCTGCTAAATATTCTAAAATTCTAAGGCATGTATTATTCTCAAATTATTTTAGCGTGAGACGGCTGATTCCCTGAAAGACTGTATTTAACGCTAATGTTGAAACTGTCACTTTTAACGACAGGGACAATATATCTTCCTGGCTTAAACACTTTTGAGAGACAATAACTATGTCATTCAATCTGTCAACAAAGGCAGAATTTATTGTGCATTGATTATTAATGGGAGAAAGGGTCTATGTACAAATGGCAAAAGGGTGAGTGATAAACAATTTAATCAAAGGGTAGAAAGATCACTTGTAATTTTTTAGCGACAAAATCCAGATCACCAAGTATTTTTATTACTTTGACTTCCATACATGGGCAAAATGCTTGTACTCCCACAAGAGATAAATTTATTTAATAACAGCATCAAATAATGAAAGTCAAAACATGATTAAAAAAATAAAAAATAGAACAAGTTTCCTTTCACAAAACAATTTCACTGTTTTTTTTAAACATACATGCTGCCTGACACAATCACACTGCAAGAAATGCTTGCACTTGCCATAGCTTATTAATGTGCTCACACTAAAGGAAATGCTGATAATCCATAGACACCCAGCTGCTGATACAGGTTTAATAAATTTTATGCTTAATTTTACATATATACATTATAAAACAAAGATCTCTAAAGAATTTAACAAGTAAATTACCATGTTTCAAAACACTTTCTCTGTGCTTCTTTTTCTAATTAATATAAATATTCCATAAAACGGCTTTAATCCCTTTAATTTACAAAGTTTAAGATTTTATTTTTAAACACCTGCAAGAAAAAAAAAACAATTCTACTCATCAAAAGATTTACGCTTTTTTGAACTCACTGAATCTTTGGAGGAAGTGGGAGATGAAGAAGCTGATGACGAGTTACTATATTTACTCCCAACACTAATATTTCGAGGGACAAGAAAAACATTGCCATCACTTGACTGCTGCAGTGAATAAAGATTAGGGTCATAAGGCTCACCACGCTCATCCCGCAGAGACTGGAAAATATGAGTATAGAGGCCTCCAAACTTTTCCTTAATTTTTCGGGTTTCCTTTTCCATTTCAGCTCTCTCAGCAACTAAACGATCTCTCGCTTTCTGCAAATCAATCATCTCATCAGAAAGAGAAACAATGACACCAACTTTACGCTTTCTGCAGTTCTGGGCAGCCACTTTATTCTTTCCACGGCGACGAATGTCTCGAACAAGGGCCAACTGTTAAAAATTATTTAAAGTAGGAAAATGTATAAATTAAGTTAGCTGAATGTTTCCACTATATGGATTTCAAAGAAGCAAGATTGTGATAATCCTGAAAGTCCAAGAACTTAGCAAGAGCAAAATAAAAGAATTGCAATTTATTTTACATAAGCTACTTTTAACAAAAATATTGAGCATTTGGTTCATTATTATTATTACCTGAGCTTCATTGAGTTTATGAGACATTAAGATTTCATTAAATGTCTCAACTGGGGATTCAATAATTTCATCAATTGTGAAGGGTATTTTGAGTTCTTCTGCACGACGCTGGTCTCGGCTCTGAGGACCCTTTCGTGAAGGCTCTTTCTGTGCATATTTTTTAACCTGAAATAGCAAAAGATTGGATGAATCGTTAAAAAAATTTAGAAAAAAAATATAGTCTTGTGGCCGAGAATAAGCATTCAGTGTAGTTACAGGGTGAATAGGTACAGATACATTTAGCCCTTTTATACAAAGCTGGTTAGACAATTGCAAACTATTTTAAATATACAAAACCAATAATTTTAACTTGCAAGCAAATAAAAGATGACAATATCTTACCTCTCTTGGTATTTGTCCAGGTGGGGTATTGTAAGTGTGGTTATGTGCCACATGATGGTGGGTCACAGCCCTGGTACCATGTGGATCTTGCTCAGTATCATTACTTGATGTAGATATGTTTCCGCCCATATGACAGCCTGCTGGGCTACCAGCACTTGAAGAGGTGGAGGATGAGGATGAAAAACCACCTTGATAAGCAAATCCTGAATCATTGGAGGATTCTGAAAGGCGCGACACTTTAGAATTGCGTCCATTAAAGTTATCTTGACTTGCACTGTAATTTGTGCCTCCAGTCGCTCCCTCAAGACCATCAAATGTTTCATTTAAATCCTGTGATACAGACATGTTTGGCAATAATGAAACTGCATTAACACATTTAAAGGAGTGTCGTGAAAGATAAACTTTATTATTTAAGAAAACTCAATGCCAGCCATATGGGTTTAACTTAATAAAAGCTAAACATTTAAATACAAATTTATGTTTCTTAATCTGTAAGTAAACCTATATTTAATCTTAACCAACTCTAACTAAAACAAAACTTAAGTTGTTATTTAATTACATTGTAAGGGGAAATCCTGCCTAAACTTCCAACTGACTGACTTAGATTGTCATCAAGGACTGTAAATGCATCCATACCTTAAAAAGACAAATCATTTATATATGTATAAATATAAACCTTGGTCCAACAAAGCAGTATCCAAAATGGGAGAGATGGGTGGGGCACATAGGGCAGAGTGCATTAGTTAGATTAGAGGGCCTTAGAAAAGTCCATCATTTTTACATGCCTTTAATATTTAATCAAACAAGGGGATGCCAAGAATTCATTTTTTAATATGGGTTAGAGACCTAAAGTTTGGAAACCACTGGTATGAAGATTAAAAACCTCAGGTTTATAAACTAACTTTATTTAAATGAAGTCATCAAATTGCTAAAAATTATTACACATGCTCATCAACCTTACCCATGCAAATTATTATTTTAATTTCACCAAATATTTGTAAAAAAATGTGTGAATCCCTCAATTATTTAGATCTATGTCTATAGAAATGTTTCTGCTATTTATATGTAACAAATTTATAATAAATTTTTTTCTAATACAATAATTAAGGGGGGGGGGGGGGAGAATGAATTTAAACAATCAAAAAACTTACTTTCATTCATTGCTATATTTGAATCCATTAAACTAACTTCATCACTTCCTTGCATGTCTCTGAAAAGGTCCTGCACATCAACAATGTCTAGATCCTCTTGGCTTTGCATTGTTGACATGCTGTTTAAAAAGCTAAGGCTGCCTAATTCAAAATTTACAGAGTTGTTGAGATTTGAGGATGAAAGGGTGGAGTTGATCTCATTAGCAGCTTGCAATACCTCTAAATAAACAAATTGAAACAATGTTACAAAAAATATAAAGCTATTTATGACTCAAAAATTGCAAATTCTCACACAGCATCCAAATTACATCAAATTAAGAGACAGCTTCCCAGCCTTTAGCAGGTCTGAATCCAAGTTTAAAGAAGCTAAGTGACCAATGACAAGCAACCCACATTTACGGTGCCAGTGCCATTGAGTGAAATGGCAGAAAAAAAAAAATGTTCAATATCCGAGACTCTCTCATTTTGTTCATTTTATTATGCATTGTAACTATGCTGGTTTCTAATATTTACTGGTAGCTCATTGGACTGACATTTTTTCATGTGTTCATTTATTGTGATTAAATTTTATTTAATATAAACTGATTGTTGCTTTCATCATGAGATATAAAATGAGACAGTATCTTAATATTACTGATTATTATATCACAGATCATCAAGAGAGATGGCAAGTGTCAGTTATGATCCGACCTAATATTGATTGCAGTATATGGCTGGCTGGAGAAACACCTGCAACAATCACTGCAAGCAAACTTCCGTCAAATACACTAGTGTTACGTCTCATGTTCACAGGGTTGATTAGCAGAGTATTACAGCTAGTGCCACAGCAACTTTGAAAGAAGTTGTTCAGTTCCGAGATGAGGCTCATATTCCTGTGCGCAAGGACTGCCACATCATCACAAAAATAAAGGACCTACATTCAACATGGATTGGAATTAAGAAGAAGCATCTTGGAGAACAGACACAGAAGGAAAAGAACATCAATGTACTGAATTTTTGCAAGATCTTTTTGAAATTACATATGCTGAAGCTCTAGCCACAATAAAGCGACCTAAAAACAGGGAATTACTACAGGCACAGAGAGAAAAAGGGAGGCCTAGTAACATGGGTCCAGTTGACATATTTGCTCAGAACGAAGAAAAAAAAATGTTTAAAGAAAACAGTTGTTGGTGAAATAAATGCGCACTGCAAAGAAGATTGAGTGGATGCAACAAGCGGTGACTAATATGAAGTTTTGTAGCAACAGTGTAATTAAGACTGAAACCAGTAGAGATGCTGACAAGGACTCCAATCTGCAACTAGTAAAGCAAAGTAGGCCTACCAATGTCAGTACAGGTTTAGCAGCGGCTACGAGACAGAAACAAAGACAGTGACAGCAGTACACCTTACATCAATGCAGCTGCAGCAGAATGACTTGAACATAGCTTAAAAGCCATAGCAATTAACAAAGAATGAATAAGAAGCAGGAGACTCAAGCACCATGAAATAGTATTTAAAGAGATTCAGGCATCATTTGGTTCAAACTATCCATTAAGAGTAAATTAGCATGAAAATAATGTTGGAGGAGCTCATTGATTGTCTTGCAGTTATGGAACTGGACAGGCAGAGGTGACGGCAAAGTTTTTTTTTTTAAGATCGGTTACTGATTGATTTTGTGCAAAAATGTGTTTCTAATTAACTTCTGAGGTAACTGTTTTCACCTACAGGACAAGTCTTCTTTTAAAAAATTTTTTAAAGAGTTTTAACAGTATATTATGAAAAGTGATGTTAAAGTGAATATTATGCGATAATACTGGAAAAAATTGCATACTGCAAAATTTTGTCAGTGTTGAGCTACATGTAAATGTTATTAGAATCCCTCCAAATGTTGTAAGTTTTTTTCTTTTCATATTATGAACAAATTTGAATGATGGAAGGATGAAAATTAGAAAATTCATTTTTATGTGGCACTCAATCCCATATACATTTAAATTAGGCTTTATAATGGGATTAAAGTAAACCCATTTCAAATACAATTTTCGTGTAATTTAATTTTAACTCACTTAAGATTGACACTGTTTTTAAACATTAAGGTACATCAAAATACATTTCAAAATAAATTTTTTTTTAAATTAACTGTTTAAGAGAGCAATCACACAGAAAACCATTTGCTAACCCATTCACGGTCATACCCCATGGCGTTGAAAACCTGTGGTTTAAAAGAGGATTATTGGAATGAAAGATTAAAGCAGAAAATCTCTTTCTTTAAAAAAAAATTAATTTACAAAAAAAACACAAACATATTTATAAATATCAGATTTGGGTACCTGGCTGCATAAGAGTAACATTTTGTATCAGAAAATCCCTTTGTGGGGTATCCTCTTGTCCTAGATCAAGCCCTGAAGCTAAGTCTTCAGATGCATTAAAATCCATGCCAAGCTGTGACAAGGTTGATGTAGGGTCCTCAACTAAGACATTAGCTGCATTGTTCAGATAATCGAAAATTCCATTCCAGTTTTCATCCAAACTGTCCTGTTGGTTTAAAAGCTCCTGTGGTTGTTGTAGCAAAGTTTGAATCTAAATGGACAAGGTTAAAATGTGAAAATGTTATAGTTTTAAAAAAACAAAAAAAAAACAGAATATTTTATGGTTTTATGGCTAAAATTATGTTGAGTCAGAGATATCAATATCATCCTAACTTAGTAATAAACTAATGCATTTGATAAAGCAGGTTTTAAAATGAAATGCTCTTTTAACATCAAAACAAATATACTTCTGTAATCTCCAAATAAAGAATATATAAAACAAGAATAACTGCTCTACTATATTGACTAACTAACGCAAATTACTAACAATTTAACACATAGGAGACTAAAAAGTCAAAATTCAACTACAAAGGATAGGTCATACCTGCTCCTCTTGAACAGTTTGAAATGGGGTATCAAGAAAACCATTACATGTGTTAGCAATGGATTCTTGAGGAGCTTCCAAATTTTGAAGAAATGTTTGATCCACATTGGAAGAGAGGAAGTCTAGTGCTGCTTCAAGGGTAAGGGAATCCTAAGACAAAAAGAAAATGTGTGTTAATGTTTAAAATATTATACATAATTTTAAATGACTGGAGCATAACAGGAGGGAGGAAAATAAAAGACATTACTAAGCATATACAGAAAAAGCATCCATGAATTTTAAATTCAAATTGAAATTTTGAAAAATATTTAGTCAGATGATAAAAGGTTATTCATACATATATCATTTGTTTCTCTAACATTGTTTAAATGCATAAAATCAAAATATATACAACTGAAATATCTGTGGGTATTTTAAATGATGTAATGGTTTTTTTCCGCATGAGCAAAGACCTGTCTTAAAAGTGTAGTTAGGAAGGATAGATAGTTGATAAAAAATAAAATATAACATACATCTGTTTCAGGGCAATCAAATGAGCTGGATGTACCATTTTGAAGCCTCACCCATTCACCTGAAACAGCCAAAAGATATTACGATAAGAAGCTTTACTAGATATTTCTTACTTATTACTTTGGTATTTAAGAAATGAACGATTAATAACTAACGTTACAAATTTTGTTTTCAATGTACAAATAAATTAAAGATATCAAAATTTGACACTTTCTTGACAGCACATTAATACACTGAGAATGATCATTTTAAGATTACCACATTAAATTACGATTCAAATCAATCTAAATGCCTATAAGCAAGTTACAAAAGAGGATCTAGAGATATGCATACACTAAAAAATGTTTTTTAAATAATCACCCAAGCAAATTATATATTAAATTTAATAAACTAAAACCTGCCTGTTTCACCATCTCTTCTGAAATGTTCTTTTAGCCATTTGTCAGCTTGCTCATGTTTCTCTCGCTCTGCCTTCTCCTTTACAAGCAACTGTGACTTTTGCTAGGATATAAGATTAGAAATGTTAGCAAATTTACCTGTAAAAACGTAATATGGTAAATTAAAATGGAATCAAAATGCTTTGATTTTTTTCTTCTACTTCTATAATTTCTAAATATTTTCCACCTGATTTTTTTAAAAATGAAATAATTTTTTTACTCTGAATGTTTCTTACCCATTCTTGATGCTTAATTAATTCATTTTCACGCTCTTTTTCGAGCTCAAATCGCAAGTTAGGGTCATAGACTTCTTTACCAACACCCAAATCAACATCTTGTTGCCAAAGGACATCTATGAGATCTAAATCCTAAAATTGAAAGAAAGACAATTATGGCATTTGGGAATATATATAAAACTGCACATTAATTTATAAACCTACGTAAACTTGTCAGTTTATTTTATATAAATAATGCTCTGTTAAGAAATAATTTGTTATTGATATTGACATTTGTATTATTAAATTTAAAAAAAACAACAACTAAATTATTATTTATTATATGATTATTAAAATCGTATTTACTCCAGTACAGTGTAAAAACTGATTTCATGTGAAATTTAATGACAAGATCACACTCACAAATATTAGATTAACTTTACAATAGAGTTACCTCTTTAGTTAAATTACAACCTGGAAATGGGTTATTTAGCAATACTACAGATGAGTCAACAAAAACTGGCTCAGAAACAGCAGCTGAAGCTTCACTCGAGTTATTTAACACTGAGGTGGAGTTTAAAACTCCAGAGAAATCATTGGCGCTTTCTTCTGGGAGGTTCTGAGTTGAAAGCTCAGCTACATGGTTGTTTTCAACACTTGCAATAGTAAACGCTGTTTGACTGCTGCTTGGTGAGTGGTCAAAAACAAGTTGAGGGCTACTGACTAGAAAAGCTTCAATCTCATTTTCATTCCTTTCTCGAAACAATGGTATATTATTCCAGTTTTGATACCATGCTGTAAATGCTTCATTGTTGAAATCCAAATGTTTTGAGCTCTCGAAAGCCCGGGGTGAATTTAAAATGTGGTTGTAACTCGCTGGTAAATAAGCTACTGACTGGCCTAAAATTATGTCTTGAACTTCAGGATAATTAATAAGATTGTTAATTCCTACTAAATCAGTGCGAAACAAACTAAGCAATATAGCCAACCCTATTAATCCATCAGTAAAATATTCTTTAATCATTTTTGTGTCTTGATTGTTGCAAGTTATATTTTTTACAATTTGAAATTATCAGAATGAGATTCTAATAATAATAATAATCTTTTCCTTGAATTGTGGTGAACTAATTAAATTTAATTCAATTGATGTCAGACTACAAAATACTAGATAAGATCACATGAAAAAACTGTAACTACAGCACTTCCACTAATGTGGAGATAATGATAAATGGAAAATTTATTATTTTAAATAATAAACACAGTCCTACACTCTACACTGAGCTAGTTTATTTATGACTTATGATATTCATTCCCTCAAAAATCATCCAGTAATTCAGTAATGTTGAATATTGAGACACACATCCAGATATTTCATCAGTTGCCTGCCTTTGCCTTTTTAGGCCGAGGCTAATCAAATAATATTTAAGTGTTTCAAGGTATCAGTATCAATTGTATCAGAGACAATTGGTGTTTTAAGTTCTTGTACGTGGTGAAATAAACACTGTTATTCTGTACTGTAACAGCATGGTCCGAGTGTTTACTTTTACTGTTTACGTTTTCACTTTTAACTTGCGCACAAGAAATGCTTCTTTGTTTCACTTGTGGCTTAGCATTTTCAGGCCTCAACAATGAAGCTCATTCGATTAATGACAAAATCTCTCAAACTTTATTGATTTTTTTTAAAGACAAGATTGAGTAAACCCACATTAAAAACAATGCAAATTTGAAGCCGAAAATAAAATACGTTATTCCGGAAGGTTCTTTTGTCGTTATTCCTACAATGTGAATCAGCGAAATTGATAGTAGTCACAGCTGGTTTTTGCGCATGCGTCAATTTGCAAGAGGAATCGGTAATAAAGTTATTTTTGTCAACATCCGGTTTAAAACAAACTGATTATTAAACATTTATCTCTAAAGTCAAGGGAAAGATTTATACAAAAAAAATAATAAATATGTAAACACTAAATGAAAGATAAATCGTAAAAAACTATATAAAATATAAACAAAAACACATATTATTGGAAGTAAAATATCACTTAACAAAATATTGTGAAACTGACCTAAATTATCCCTTGGCTGAAGTGAACCCAAAGAGAGGCTCTTACTCTTAAACTTTGACATTATTAAAGATTCAAAGTCAAAATAAATCAAATAATATTTAACATTATCAAATGTATAACATTTAAAATGAACATGAGAATACCTCATTAGTATTTGGTATCAGACAATTCATCAAATTCCTCTCCATTTCCATAGCGAATCTTTAAAATCCGACGTCCCAACGTCCGTCCCACTTCCAGCTCGTATAAGTGTGTCACTGAGGTGTTTTACATTGTGACCTCTGAACTAAAGCTATGCATATATAATAAGTACATTTTTACCAGGATGTCCTGGGACCTGATCCCGAATTTCATCATTTTGGAGTTAAATTTATCAGAAATAAACAAATACACAATATTTAGAATTTTAAAATCTCAATCTTTTAAATATTATTTATTATAAGCCTAATAGATCCTTTATTTTAAGGCAATGGTTTTTAATTGACAATACATTTTTCCCATTATTTGCTTTTTAGGCGGTGCGTGTGCGGCGTAAGTAAGAGTAAGAGTAAGGGACAAGGGCAATCCGTAGCCATTTAATAAGCCATTAGGCAAGCACATTTTTTTTTTTTAATTAAAAAATCAAATTCTTATAGATTCCCCCTTGTTGCTCCGGTACATTTTTGGACACCCCATGCGTTCTTTCAACTGAAAAGTTGCATATGCACTTTTTACAAAATTTACTTATAGTTTATGGTCAATTATGACGTAATCGTACGAAATTCTCATAAATTAGGGTGACCAAACATCCCGTAAAAACGGGATTGTCCCATTTTTTTCACGATCGTACCCGTTGTCCCGAAAAAGTTTCTCGGGACGCCTAAATGTCCCGTTTTTTAAACCAAACACATTTTCAAATCACTAAAACTTCCTAATTTATGATTTAACTTCAAGCAATATTTTGGCTAGCTGTGTAGCCAGTGCCAGTAGTGGTGTGGGCTCGCGTGATGGCTGCACTGTTCCTCCGATACCACAATGTCCCCGCCATAGATCGTAAATGTAAATGTATAGCTAAAGACATGAGACTTGAAGCCGAGGGGAGGGGGGGGGGGTTGATGTCAAAGTGACAGGTTTTTGTTTTGGGTGTTGAACTTTATTCTCAAATTGTATATCATCTTCTCATGTAGACATTAAATTATGCCCAAGCGTCAGTGTAAGTTTATGGAGGAGTATTCCAAAGAGTGGAACTATATTAAAAGGGGACGCTATGAAAGTGAAGCCGAGTGCACAGTTTGCAATAATGTTTTTAAGTTTTGGTTCCCCCCCCCCCTTTTTTTTTTTCAACCCTTCAATCAGCCTTGAACGTGTCCCGTTTTTTCCAGTTCATGGTTTGTTCACCCTACCCTAAATTTAAACGGGTACTTCAATTTTAATTCCCCGAAAAAATTATTATTATTCACACTTCCAATAAAACTAATGTTCTTTTGAATAAAAGCTTTTAATTCAACGCACAAATTATTGTACATTATACTTTACATTTTTTCGCATTTCCATTAAAACACTTCACACTTCCAATAAAACAAATGTTCATTTGCATTTCAATTAAAAAATATATACTTCTTTTAAAGTCCTTCGCTACTGTGGTGGCCAAATTTGAACAATATCGTCTAGAATGGCGTTGGATACATTCAAACCATTTGCTTTAACACGTCGACGCAAAATGAACCCAAACATATAAGAATCGAGCACATCTCTGTGTATTCCATTGTTTCTCTATTTTGCCAATATCTTTTCGCAGTATTTGATGCGTTGAGTACTGGCATTCCGTTAACTTTGCGGTTGTTATATATAGCACATCGTCTGACAGCATGTATAATACCGTGTTGTTCTAGAAACAAGATACAACTGACTTCATTTTGAACTAATGCAGAAATTGTCCAAGAATTCATGGTGTCTACAGAAGCAGTTGTATTGATTAAACCGGATATAACTGCAGCACAGACATAGAATAGCAGTCATGATAACTTTTGCGGTGAATTAAAATTGAAGTACCTATAAACGTGCTTTAAAAAACTCGCTTTTTTTCTCTACTGTCTGTTTGGCGAAGAGAATACAAATACAATATTCAGTTCAACCGAATTACAACAAAATTAAGTCACATGCTGTTGTGCTTAACTTTTTTTTTTTTGGACCCCGCCAAAAAATCGTACGTACAAGAAGCATTTAGCGCCCACCCCCATAAAAATACCAAAAAAAAAAAAATCAAATAATGTAAAAAATAATTGTGACGTCTCATGAAAAAAAAAAAATTATCGCGGGTTTAAACCATAAAGAATCTTGTTCCCTGGCACCAAACACTCACGTCAGTGACGTATACAGGGGAGAGGGGGGGGGCGAATAGTTGGTCTGCCCAGGGGTCATTGTTTTTGTTGCATTAAGAGTTTATATCGTGAAAGGTAGCATGGCAAAGTGTTAACCCGCCTAAA